ATATACACACACACACACACACACACTAGCCGTCTAGCCACGCCAAGGGCTAGGTGTGAATTTTCTTTTTCATAAATTAGTTCAAACAGGGGATTAGTGTTTTTGCGCAAATAGTTTACTACATACAAATAATTATCAATAAGAGTCATGCTAGCAGAAATAAAATCAAAAAGAATTAAAAATGAAAAGTTGGGATTCTTTACAAATGCATATGAACACATGATTGGCTGATCATTCTTGATCGTGCAACACTTCTTTATACACGACATTTGATGTATAGACTTCACTGCCATTGAATTGTTCACCAAGCTTCACCAATACTTTTGTAGTGACACATTATATCCCTCTGGATAATGCCACATGAAGTTCGCCATGCGAGAAAACCGATTGTAGAAGATAAATTCCTACATTTGGAATAGTTTGTCCCTGAGCTTTATTAATTGTTATTGCAAAACATAATCGAATTGGAAATTATTTTCTCTTCAGCTTGAACGGGAACATGTCATCTTTAGACAGACTTTAGAGGGATCCTTGGCAAAATACCCTCTTCCCAACATGTTGACCAACAGCTATTTCGGCATCAATGACATTGTGCTAAAAACTTTTGCATATGAATCGAGTATCGTTACATAATCCATTTGATGGGTCGAGATTCTGTGACAGTATTATCGGACATCCAACTTTCAGTCTTAAGTAATGAGTGGGAAAACCACTAACACTGAGTGTGTTTAAGAATTTCACGGGGTAGAAGTTATTTATATCATCCATAGCTTCATCAAAACTATAATAAATTTTCTCTTCTCCATGGAATCGACCGATCAAATAATCATTAATCTCATTGACACTATTATTTCTTGCGAATAGTATTGCATGCGAAATAATATAATCAGGTTCAGATCTATTAATTTCAAATGATGGAAAGATTGCATCAATCAAATCATGCAATGACTTTTCTTTTTTCAGTGAAGAGAATCACCGTATCATCAGGGATGTGAATAAAGTTTCTGTGCACCGTTTCTTCAACTCCAACCCACACGTAATAGAAAGTCTGAGAACCATGGATCGGTTAGTGCTCTCATATTAACAGTTAACCGCAACTTGATAATCGAATACCAAAGAGGCGACATTCGTATGCTAGAATCCACATTATGTACTCGCGTTCCACATCTAACGACCAACAACACTTGTCTGAAATCACCTCCCAAAACCATTATTTTTCCACCAAATGGTAGCATCACACCGATGATATCTTTCATTGTACGGTCAATCGCCTCCGATGCATGTCTTATAGCCATAGACGCTTCGTCCCAAATGATTACTTTTGCAGTCTGAAGTAGTTGAGCAGTACCACTTTGTCTTTAAATCTTGCAGACCGAGTTATTTTCAAGATTGATAGGAATTTTAAAATGCGAGTGAGCTGTTCTACCCTTGGTATATTATTAGCCGCAACACCCGAAGAAGCGGTCGCGAGTGCAATATGACCACATGAACAAATATTAGCAAATAAAGCTTTGCACAAAAATTGTCCTCAGGAAGTTCCACAAATCAAACATCTATTTATTTTGCAAGATTTAATAAATATGGATATTAGCATATTAGTACGTAGTTGGATCTTGAATGTAATATTAGTTTCTTTTTTTAGATAATTTATCATAACATGTTTACATAGAGTAAAAAAATGGGAATCTAGAGGAACACATAACTAAAGTGTTGTTTCCTTTTTACTTAATGGATTTAACGAGGACAGAAGGGTAAAATACTCACACTTACTGAATAGATTTGAAAACAGCCTAGGATGTTATTTATAATACTAGGTTAAAACTCGTGGAACCCACGGGTGTTAGTTTTAAATAGAATTAAAAATTTAATAATATAATAAAATAATATAACCTTAATTTAGAAAACTTAATGAATTGTAATATTGTATTTTTTTTAATAACTTTGTAAGTAGATAGTATCTCACTATCACTTACAAAATTAATCAAAGTACATTTCCCTTTCACGTACAAAATCATACCAGGTGACATGAAACCCAAAAAGAAATACATTGTTCTCACGGAAAAAAACCATACAAGTGAAAGAAAACCAAACAATAAAATCAAAGTATGTTACCCTTTCATGCAATACACACCATACAGGTGACAAAAAAACCAAAAAAAATTATTAACATAAATGATCCCTATTTAAAATTTTTTTTAACAAAAATGGTCCTTGTATAAAAAACAAAAAAATGGTACGTGTTTAAAAAAATTAACAAAAATAGTCAAATTGAAACGTAACCTTGTTTACTTTGATGGTATAAACGTACAACATTTACATATAAGCATTCATTAAATTTACTAAAACATTGGATTGAACCACATTCTTCATGTTTTTTACTAATAAAAGTGGAAATCATCCATCAGTGGCTTCCCAAGATTGACTGCCATCTTTCAACGACAAACTCTCCTATACTTACGCATGATCTTCACTTATTTTCCTATCAAATAGATAATTGATCACCCAAATCAAAACAGAAGTAAAAACTGATGAGCAAATATCAGGGGCAAAATGGTCCAAATGCTACAAAATAGTCCTAGAACAAACTCAAGTTATTTCGTAACAATCCTAAAACAAACTCAGAAAATTAACTTTCTTGTAAATGAGTTACCTGAATACCGAATACAGATAGAGATTGAAAATGTTATATATCTAAAAGTTAAAAGAAACCGATCAGACTGTAATTAACAATTATCACCGGAAAAACACAGAACCTCAGTAAAAAAATGCATACTCATTTAAATAATCAACACATAATAAACAACTGCAAGCATAGTTACATCTGATATATCAAGATATACACAGATGATTGATAGGAACTAATTTATATAAACAGTTCAATCAATAAAAAAACATACCTGCTTGGATCCTCAAGTAAAAAGAGGGGAAAATGATTGGAGAGCTGTCGCAAGAATGGGAAGCGTAGGTGGCGCGAGATGAATTGAAACGAAATATCCATCATAAGGCTAATTAAATTTATAAGCTATGTCTTTCAACACATATGTATTGAGCATAATACATAGAGTAAAATGTTCAACTTTATAAACTTGAACTGTTTAGACATGCTAGTATTTTCCCTTTTAGAACTAATAACTATAATATTTTAAAGAGTATTTATCTCTCATAACATATAACCAACCTTCGGAATACCACATCCTGAGCACGAGGTATCCATATTTGAATCAAAGTCATCATCTTGGCATACCCTGCATCAAAGAACACGAGAAGAAAAACAATCTTTAACACATTTCCCTTTAGAATATTAAAAAACATGAATCGATGAAGATAAAACCGAGACTGTAGTCACCAAACAATCGATTACCAAATTGAACATCGGAAAAATGACGAACCAAGATAATGACATGATAGCCGATTTATAATGAAAAAAAAAACAATAAGTTCAACTAATGCTTACTTGAGACGCTGCACATTAAAGACTACGTGTTGTCCAAAACACTAACCCTAGATTGTTTGCTCAAATTAACTGGTTGATTAAGAGCTTTATCTGAAACATCAATTGATTAGGTAAATCCACATCTAAATAAACCCACAAAACTTCTCAAAATATGTTATTCTTGACGATCTCTTTCAGTTTTTGTGGTTATTAGCTTCTCTAGGTAAGCGTTGGTGTTGATAAGAATGGAGGGAGTGGTAAATATGTCATTTGCATAATTGCGGCTGCTATAGTGACTATACGCGTCTAAACAAATCATAGAAAATAAGAGAAAGAATGAGAGGCTAGCTGTGATTCAGTGATGATTTCAAATGGTTCCAAATTGAGAGATTTGGAATTGGATTTGGGTATTTCAAAGCTCCATAACCAAAAAGCTAATGTGCCAAAGCAGTTGAGGCACAAATGAAAGAGACGGAGAAGGAGATGAAAAACTGCCATATCAAATTGAATAGGAGCGACTAACTTTTGAGATTGGATCGGGTAAGAACTGGTTTCTGCGAGATTTATGGAGATGAAGAACTTAGAAAAAAATAAACGCAACAATTAGAAGAAGAGCAATAATTACCTAATCAGAGGCGCAACCCTGAACTGGCACCATCATCGATGATAAAATGAGAAAACAGTGACAAATGGCAGCATAGAACATCGACACGGGAATATGGTTAATGGTGGATCTTTTAGGGTTTGTAGATAAATGGTGATATTGAGGATTTGTATATACTAGCTGGCGAAAGAGATAATATTCAAATAGTTGGACGAACCGAATTTTATTAGAAAATGGAATGCAAGGGCAACTTTGGGAGTTCAGTTTCAACATTTTGCATGGCAAAAATCTATTTATTTATTAGATTAGGAGATAAATAATTATTAAATATTAAAAACATATTTATTATATTTTCTTTTGTGTTTTTTTAATCAAATTATGTAATGTTATATCTATAAAAAATTGTAAATTATTAATAATTTAAAGTGTATGTTGATAAGTGCAGATATATAAAAAACGGAAAGGGCTAAATTGGTTTTGTAACCTTTTCATTTTTCATAACCCTAATTTCCCGTCGGCACATTAAAGATGTTGGTGATGGTTGATTCTTACAAATAACATAAACAAACATGAAGATCCGAATACCAATCGTTCACTGGAGAAAATGGAAATTAAAAAGAAAATACAGGACATCAGAGATAATGGAAATGAGACACAAAATTGGCGCAGGTGGTAGAAATGTTGAAGTAACTGATGCACACAAACGACGAACAGAAAACGACATAGATTAACAGAGAGATATGAGAGAGTACCGGTGTTCTGCAAAGGACGGAGGCTGCGGACGGCGTAGGTGTTGTGCTGAACAATAAAGATAAGTACCCAACGAATGTCTATGGTTTTTCCCTTTGAAATTCCATGTTATTGTTTTTATGTTCGGAGATTGTATTTGAAATCATTTGTGTATGTTAATCAAATCAACCTCCTAAATTACAGGTAAGTAATTCGAAATTTAGATCATATATAATATATATTCTATTTTGAACAAAAACACTGATTTTGTATTGTATTGTATTTACTGATTTTGAAAAAATTGCTCATGTAGGTGTTTGGTTATGTGTGAATTTAATTGAAGAAAAAAGAATATCGACTACCCAAATAAAGGGCTTGTTGTTGCAACATATCTGCAAGCACTTAACTCGTATGTTACAAAACCAAGGTAACTTTTGGTTTGAGTTTGAGTTTTGTTATTTTTAAGAGACTACATTTTTTTTGGCATCCTTCAATTTGAAACTTCTTTATCACAAAGAATTCTATAATCATAGAACATTTAACATCTATATATCTATATAGTGATGTATGATTTGAGTTTGAGTTTTGTTATTTTTAAGAGACTACATTTTTTTTGGCATCCTTCAATTTGAAACTTCTTTATCACAAAGAATTCTATAATCATAGAACATTTAACATCTATATATCTATATAGTGATGTATGAATACTATATACGCACACATGTATTCTATGACAGGTAATTGTTTTGCTATCTCGTAAGTCTTTAATTTAGATAAATATGGTTCTAATTTATAATTATTTAAATACCATGGTATAGCATAACCTTGAGAATTTAATTTTTTGTATTAAGAGAGAGAAGCACAAGTAGGAGCATGTGACTTTCCAATATTCAGAAGCAAGCTATGATGCAGGAAAAATATATAGGTGAGAAGATATCAATCATTCATAAATCAAAGAACTTCTGAATTTGAGAGACTCATTGATCTCATAAATGCCCAAATCAAATAGTAACATGATAAAATTATACAAATAATAAATAAATAATAAAATTTGTGTCCTTGTTCTACGCTTTTGTTCATTATAATCCAATAGCTGAAAGTCCTCTTTTCTACTCAAAATTGAAGGAAATAACTTCTCTTTAACTTACCACATACATCACCCTCTTTTTTTTTGTTCATTTTCATACTTCCTTTTCATGGGATCTTGATGTTTTGCTCAAATTGCTAATTTACAAAGCAAGGGGCAAAATAGTCATTTTCAAAGGTCAGATTGAGGCAAAAATAAAATGCACCACGAGTAAAAAATTATACACATTTAATTTATGGTCTACCTTAATTTATAGTGCAATATAGTATCTTACTTTCACTCCTTTTCATTACAATTGTGTGTAATGTGTGTGGCTATGTGTGTGTATATCAGGCACAATACATATACACAAAGTACATTGCCATTTCTTGAAAAAAAGTTAAACCTTTTCCTAAATTCCAAGATGTATAATCACTGAAAATTATAAAATGATCAATGGTTCTTAGTTATAACAATGTACTTTGAAAGTACATTGCTCTAATTGGGATGTTTATTGTTTCTCCATGTAACATGTTTTCAATGATTTTTAGGGCGAATTGCAAAATCAAAAAGTACATTTCTATTTCTTGCAATGAACTTTAGGTTTTTACGTTTAACCCTAAAAATTAATGAAAATATGTTGCTTTCTTATAGTCAGAAACAACAACATGCATATTGGTCCATGTGCAAAAAAAAAAAAAATTAGCTATATTACCTAATTGGTCCCTGTAATAGGCTAAATAGAGAAATAGTTCATTCATTTTAGTATATAAAATATTTATGCCACTTAATTAATACAAACACACAGAACACACACAACAAATAAAATTATAAAACTGATGCGAATGGTCCCTCAATGAAACTGATATGACAGAAATTGTCCATAACCATAAATAAGCATGTTTCTTAACTATTGAAACCGGGAAAAAGAAAATCGTATAATGGCATCCCAATTATAGCAAAGTACTTTTAAAGTTCATTGCTATAATTGGTAAAACATTCATATGTTTGTATTAAAAAGGACAAAAAGCAATAGTATAAGCACACATACGATGCCAATAAAACACACAGAGAGCAACACACATAGATCGACGTACTTGTTTCTAGGATGCTATATCAGAATTGTAACAAAAAGAGAAGAAGATAAAAATAAACCAAATAAAAGAAAATAGAGAAAAAATATTTTGTTTTACACCAACCTGATGTATTGAAATGTATGAATGAAGATGGTAGTTGGCAGAGATGAAGAAGCAGAATGACGCCAAACATATAAAAAAATTTAGGGGTTCGGTATTATAAGTGCAAAATGAATAGGAGAAGATAATATTGTAACCATGATTTAATTCCTATTATGATGGCTGTATATTTGGTAACCATGTATTAATTCCTATTGTGATGGCTGTATATTTGGTAAAAGATCAATTAATTCAAAAACATTGTTGATTATATGGGATATGAGGATATATGAAATTTAAAATTCAAAATGTGTTTAAATGCAGGGAAAATATGGTAACCAAATAGCTGATTTGTAGGAGATGATGTCGATCCTTGAAGTAAGCAATGGGCGGGAAAAGAATCGAGAATAGAGCTGCAGGATTGACACGTGGATTGATGGGGGTCTAAGAGGGGGACATGTGGCGGTTTAGTAGTCTTTTATTAGGATTAGGGATTTAATACTAATTATTAAAGAAGAAAGGGTAAAAAAATGAAAAGGGATACTTGCACAACTTTTGGTGAGGTGCATAAATGAAGCATTTGCCAGAAAATGTATTCAATATCCATTTGTTGCCCACTATAATACAGAAGTTGATAATGCAAATTATAAATTAATTGTCTAAAACAGATTATTGTTATTTATGAGAGTTTTTAGGCAGAACACGATGGATTTCTATTGGAAAATATATTCTATAATAAAATGATGGCAATGGCACTCATGGTAAATACTTGGAATAAGAAAGGGTAATTTAGGAAAGTCACTTTATGAAGTTAAATGGTATATGACAAACAACCCTTTTGGATATTATCCGGAAAATTCGTTGATGGCCAAATTGTCGGCTGCTGCTGATAAATATGATTTGGGGAGACTTAGAAGGATGTGTAAATCCCATCTTTGTAAGGGTATATCTGTCAATTTAGTTGGTAGACCTCTAGCACTTGCAGATCGTTATCATGCCAAAGAATTGAAAGCTGTTTGCTTAAGATTTGCTGCTGAAAACCTTGCAAGTATACTCTCATTATACAAAAGTGTTTTTTATGTACTTCTTCTTCCCTTATTTGCAGTATTTCTATTACCAACTTAAAGTGATTCTATTTTTATTATAGGATAGCATCCCACCTTCATTTCTTTCTACTCCAACATTTCAGACACAAGCTATTGTGACTTCATTTAGTGAGCACAAGCACATGAAAACACAATTTCAATAACTATAACAATACCAATAATAGTTACAATAATAGTTATGGTTATGATAACAGTAACAGTTAGACAATACCAAGGAAAGTTATATTCATTCTTAGTTATGAATGATATAAATGTAAAACTGGAGCTTGCGCGTCTTCTGGTTATTATCTCATCTTTTACTCCTGCTACCTTATGAGCATCTGTTATGTTGGTTTTGATTTTGAACAAATAAATGACTTTGTAAGAAGGAACAAAGAAATAACAATGGTATCTGATAAGGCTACATTTCGTGATGTAGTTCAAGTTATGCTTACAACACAAAACGAAGATGAACAGAGGAGGTGGGATATTTCTAGGGTTCCTGCTTTCCAAGCTTTTTTGAAAGCCCTAACGTTGGTAAAATCAGTCTAATTAATAGCTTGACAAGATGATGTTGCCAATGTTGAGGCTATCAATATTTTGAATCAAAAACTTTGATTTGGTGCCATCAGGACCTAAATATTTAATCACAATTGTCACCAACAAATCTTTTCCGTTTGCTATTATAGAAAGAAAGGATGATTGTAGCTTGTGAATTTGCATATTTGTTCATTTTGTTTATTTACTAGTTATTAATTATTACTGTAATCACTTTTTTAACTTTCACATACTAATTACTCTCATGTAAATACATTAATGACTATTTTGCCCGAGGTCTTCTCATCTTAAGCAAATACAATTCACCGACTTCTCAACAGTAATCTCTTCTCTATTGTTTTTAGTGTATAATATGTATGAAGTTCAGCTATTGTATGTCAATGTCAATGAAGACTAAGAATACAATACTTTACTAATCAGTAGCAAACTTTAGTAGTATCTCCTCTATTGATATGTATGAACATTTGATATATATGAATTGTTAACGTAATGGACGAAAGTAAGTCTTCAATATATGTAAAGACCAGAAAAACCCTACTGGACTCTAAAAAAATCACTCCGAACCCATGCAACGTATGAGTCTCTTCTATAGTTATAAACAATTTCAAATAAGTTATAAACATGTTCAAATAAGTTAGAAATAAACAATTTACTAAAAAC